GGAGACAAAGTTTTAAATGAGTCCTACCCGATCTGCCGATCAGGAACCCCAAAATGGGGCTCTGAGAGGGGGCCGCCAGCCAGGAGCGGTGAAGCCAGGAGGAGAGCCATAGCGAGAGACCCCAAGGCCCACGTGTCTGGTTTTTATATCCAACCTGGTTGCTTAACTCCACCCTCAGGTCCCAGCCACCCTCCCTTTGGTGGTGATGGGATTTGTCTTTCCCAGAGTCTTGATGGCTTTAGTCTGGAGTGGGGGTGGGGTCCACAAAGCCTGTATGGGATTAGCTCAGGACATCATTTCTCCCTAACACTATGAAGTTACTGGCAGCCACTGCAGCACAAGTTTGATCCCTGATCAGCCCTCTCCTGTCTCCCCGGGTACTTTGGTTGGTCCGACTGTTCTGCTCCCCAGTGAATCCTCTCTCCCACCCCCACACACCCTTGTGGCCTATACCCCAGTTCTTGGATGCATAATAAGTAAATCTTAAAAAAAACCTTTTCAAATAATGAAAATTTTCCAGCTAAAGCTACACATTGCTCAACCGTTTGCTAGTAGGAGGGTCACTCGTATACTTATTCCCCCAGTGACTCAAGCCAGGCAGCCTTTTAATTTTTTTTGTTTTTTAAAAAAAAGTTTATTTATTTATGCATACAAGAACTGGGGTACAGGCCAGAGGTGCGGGGAGGTCGGGGGTGTGTGTGTGGTGAGAGGATTCACCAGAGACAGAGTGGGGAACAGAACCGGCAAACTGACTGAAATACACAGCTGAGGGGAGCAGCGGGGAGACAGAACAGGTCTGCTGTGACATGCGGGTAGCTCCCTGCCTGGCCAGGGATCAAATTCATGCTGCAGAGGCTGAAGAAAGCTTCCTAGTGCTGTGCTTAACCCCTTATGCCACCAGGGAGGTCCCCAACAAGCCATTTTAAAGGAAAAAACCTGGTTGGTAACTTCCTGGCTTAGAATTGGTGAACACCAACAGTTCTGCACCTTCCTCAGCTGAATGCCCCAGAATGATCTAAGTCCTGCATTTCGAGGCAGTGCCAGTAGGTGGCGAGCATGCACACAAGAAGCAGAGGTCAAAGAACTCCCCTGAGATGGTACCCAGGCCCCCAAGAGGAGTGTGGATCCCAGATGATTTTGGACTGTCAGCCAATGGAGCATCCTGGAAAATGCTCCTTCCAGATGGCAGGTCTCATGGAGGCCCAGAGCCAAGCGCTCAAGCATAAAGCCCGTTTTGTTCTACGGTCTCCGGGGTTTCACTGAATTTTCTTCATGTTGACAGGTGATCTCCTGTCGATCTTACCTGTTCTGTGACCATTTATCTTCTCCCAGGTGCATTCTGGTGGCAAGTGTCCTATGGCTTTTAACTCTCCACCTGGGTCCACCACATCTGTGGCTTTTCATCTTCCAGAATTTCTTTAGCAACAGCTTTCCTTTATATTCATGTGACCAATGTTTTTCCCTCTTCAGGATAAACGACAGAGAAGACAGAGCAAAGAAAGCAAAGACCTCCTCTGGGAGCAAAAGGATCAACCAAGAGGACTCAAACCACAATTAAAGAAGATACCCCTCAGGGCCTTCCTGGTAGTGCAGAGGGTTAAGTCACAGCACTGTGACATTATCAGCAGCCACTGCAGCACGAGTGCAATCCTGGTCAGGGAGCTACCCACATGGCAGCAGACCTCTCCTGTCTCGCCAGCTTGTCCCCTCAGCAGTGTATTTCAGTCAGTCTGCCTGTTCTGTTCCCTATTCTGTCTCTAGTGAATCCTCTCACCCCCTCATACCTCTGGCCTACATCCTAGTTCTCGGATGCATAAATAAAATAAATATTTTTTTAAATGCCCCTTAAACAAAAACAAAATAAAAAAGTTACCTTACTCCAAAGCCTGTTCCACAACAACTGACCCCAACCAGTCAAGATTTAGAACACAGAAAAATCTCAGCCCTTGTCACTTCTGCTGGGCACCATGGAGACAGACCCAGGAGGATCTGAAAACATCTAGGGGCTGGTATTTTAAGAGTCCTTACCTTTTACCATCTCTTGGTCAAATATGAGATAACTCAGGACCTCTTCCATGCCAGCTGTTATAGGGCACATCCTGGCAGCAACGCCAAAGTCTTGGGGCACAGAACAATGCCCCCTTCTCTCAGTTCTTCTAGGGTGGCAAGTAATCCAACTGACATCAAACAGGCTGACATGAGAGGGAAAAACCTAACTGCATTTGCGTGGGGAACCCATATAAATGCTGACTATTCCGAAGGCAGTTAGACAAAGCAGGTGTGTGTAGGCCACTCAGCACTAAGGAGAAAGTGGAAGGGGTTTGGACTTCGAAGGCAGGGGAAGCTGAAAAGGCATCTTCTCAAAGCTGTCGATGCAAGTCTATAACGCCTCCTTCTGGCGGTGGACTTGAGGGCGGCCTCCCACCCTCCACCCTGGCCTTTGAGAGTTGAGATAAGCTCCCTGCTTCACACCCCTGCACTTCATGTTTGACTTCCAGCTGCACTGAAAGCACAGGGACCAGACGTCACAGGCAGCACCCACGCTGCTGGGCTGGGGTTGGCTGACGCTTTGCTGGAACCCATGAGGGGATGTCCTTGGTGGTGGCCCGGGCTGGGCTAGGCCTTGTGTGACACCTTTGCCCATCACAGGCCCCTGCTGCAGCTTTTAAATCCTCAAGCTCTGCCCCTAGAGAGGGGGACACAGCGTGAGGAAGAGGACAGAGAAAGAGGGGAGAGACCCTGAGAGAGGGGACGAAGACATGGAGAAAACGGGGCAAAGAGAAAGGGTGAGACACGGAGAGAAGGAAACAGATACAGACCCTTGGGTGACAGACCCTGTAACCTTCCTCTGCCCCTTCTTGGCCCTCAGGGTCTCCCCTCAGACCTGCTCCTCTCCAGCAGCACCCCCACAACCACTCTCTGGGACAGACTCCAGAACTCCTCTTCCTCCAGCCCTCCCCCCACACCTGTCAGCGCACAGATTTGTCCCTCCAGTGGCCACACAGCCCCATGCGGACCCAGCCTGGTCTCTGCCTGGGACTGTCTGGTCTCAGATCTTCAGGCTTCCCAGCTTCCCCAAAGGGCTCCTGAGACCTCCCCAGATGCGCTCCCCCACTTTTCTCCACCTCAGTTAACATGTAACTTCCTGTGGCCCCAAATGTTAGAAGCTTCTGGGCCCGGCTTAGCTGGGCCAGGGAGGCTGCTCTGAGTGTCCTCCCTGTTCTTCCTCCAGCTCCCCTTCTAGCCTCTCCAGCCCCAGGCTCCTTGCAGGGCACAGAGCTGGCCCAGCGCTGCCTCCAGCCCCACAGCCGAGGGTGCCAGGGAGGTGCTGTCGGGATTGTGTGCACCCGAAGGGCAGGCTGGACCCAGCTCATCACTGAGCCTCAGGGAGCAAGTGGCACCTCCATTAAAACGATGTAACGGTAACTGGGGGCTGAAGGGCAAGGCTGGAGCCAAAGGCCATTACAGGTGGGCCCACCTGGAGGGGGGCGCAGCTGAGGGTGTATAGCCCCAGGTAGAATATGCTCAGGTAAGGAGGAATCAGTGAGGGTGGGACTCTAATAGGGAACAAAGGGGCCGCAGAAGCAGCCACTAGGTTCAGGGATTCCTGCCCCTGCTACACTCACCTTCCAGAAGGCTGTTGCTGGCCTCCAGAGAACATGCAGAAGCTTCCAGCAGCCAACTTGGGAGGAGAAAAGTTGAGAAGTTTTGCAGGTTGCTGAATGACTGAAACTGATGCCAACTTTACTGCTATTTCAGCCCAGAAGGGAAGGCAAGGACCTGGAGCTGGGCACGTCACTGAGTTGTGTGAGTGTGGACTGTCTGTCAGGCCGCTAGGCTGCTGCTCCTGCTGTTTCCAGCGTTGCTTCTCTGATACTGTGCTGTTGTCTTGGGCGCATCTCTGCTTCCGGTGAGCACTTCCTGTTGCTTCTTCTGCTGACATCTCAAGTTGATCCCTACCTGCTGTCTGGCTGCCACGTGCTCCAGGCCCTCTGTGGTGGTGGACGCCCCTTTGGATGCCCTTTGCTTAGGATTTGAAAACACTGACCACTACTTGGGGTGATATAATGAGCCACTGGTGGCCTCAGAGACTTTGTTTTCCCTTCTTTCTTAAATAAACTGCATTAGGGCCTCCCCGGTGGCCCAGGGGTTAAAGAGACAGCACTATCAAACTATCGCAGCTGCTGTGCCATGAGTTGGATCCCCAGCCAGGGAGCTGACCACGCGGCACAGCAGACCTCTCCTGTCTCGCCCGCTGCTCCCCTCAGCAGTGTATTTAGGAATATCCGCCTGTTCTGCTCCCCACTCTGTCTCTGAGGATCCTCTCACCACCCCCACTTCTGGCCTGTACCCCAGCTCTTTTATGCATAAATAATAAATAAATAAATCTTTTTTAAAAAATATTTATTTATTTATTTATGAGGGTTGCTCCTTGGTTGGCCTGAGATGGAACTCATGCTGCAGTGACCGTGGACATATTCATAGGTTGCCTCTTAAACCCTTGCGCCACCAGGGAGGCCTGGGTTGTTTTTTTCTTAGCTGTTCTCTATCAAGGCAAGCACTCCAGTCATGATGATGGCCACTGCCACTGCGATGATGGCCACTGCCACTGCGAGCCACTTGATTTTTTTTTTTTTTTTTTTAATATAGAGGCATGTTTTCTTTCTTTCTTTCTTTATTTGTTTGGGGTTTTTTTGTTTATACAAGCACTGGGTACAGTCAGAAGCGCGGGAGGGTGAGAGAATTCACCAGAGCCAGAGCGGGGAGCAGAGCAGGCAGAAGGACCGAAGGACACTGCTGAGGGGAGCAGCGGGCGTCAGGAGAGGTCTGCGCGCCATGGGGGACCCTCCTCCTGTGGCCGGGGAGCAGCCGGGGATCGAACCGGCGCCGCAGAGGCCGCGGGCAGCTTCGCAACCCAGCGCTCAACCGCTGCGCCACCGGGGAGGCCCGCGAGCCACTTGATTTGATTACTGTGTTGTGAGAGGAGGCCGCCCTGGACACAGACATCTCCTGTCAGCACCCAGACAGGGCAGCCCCGAGGCCCGCTCACAGGGAGCAGGTGGGGAGAGAAGACAAGGGCACTGTGGGAGTCAGGACCAGGCAGTGCGGGTTAAGGATTATCACAGATTTGAGTAATTCTAGAGGACCTGGAGACCCCAAGGAGGGTAAAAAGTACTAGTTAGGTTAAGAGTAACTGGGAGGTCAGAGGTCACCAGCAGGAAGGGTCAGTGACCAGATCCACTCAGTTGAAGGGACACGTGAGGACACATTATAGACCACATGCGATTATCAGAAAATGAGAAAGGGAGCAGCTGTGTGGTGGGTTCAAGAAGATCCCCAGGTCCCAGCCGAGTGGGGGAGGGGGCGGTTAAGGGCCTCACCCAGCCACCCTGTTCCTGGATCCAGGGCAGCAGTCGCTTTCGAATGAAGTCCAGTGTCCAGTCCATGATGCTGGTGATCAGCTCCCGCATGTCCGTGCACAGGGCCTACGGCGATGAGGTGGGAGTAAGGACTGAGCTCCTACTGCCAGGTGACTCCCCAGGCCCCTTTCTCAAACCTCTGCCTCCCCCCGACCCCCTGTGGTTCTTCCCACTCATAACTTGGATCTCATCACTGGCAACTGCCCTGCTTAGGACCTTTCCATCCACCCAAGTACCCCTGGGATCTAAACCAAGGCATGGGCTGCACAGACCGGTGTACAAGTTCTCCTTGTTCACACTGAATTTTTCTTTTACTGTTTGGTGTCTCCTCCTTTTTCCAATCTTCATTCACACGAAACTCCTTTCTGCCTCAGGACCTTTGTGCATGTTGGTTATTCTGCCTCAATAGGACTTGTCTGACTTACCTGCCAGCTAAGACTCAACACCCCCAGTTGCCGTGACCTGCTCTCCAACTCCCTGGACGCCCCCTTCCACCCTCTATGTGGCTGCTTCTCCCCAGATCCACATGAGCCCCCAGCACTGAATGCTGCCCCCACCTCCAACATTCAGGCCCCATCAGCTCCATGTTACAAACACATCCAGAAAGCTCCTTCCTCCCACCCCCTCTCCCACCTGAGTCCAGCCCCTCATCATTCCTGGGTCCATTCTGGGTGCCCCCCACCAGCGTCCCACCAGCTTTTGCCCCTGCGCCCCGCAGTCCCTTTCCCAACTATAGTTGCCAAACTATGTTCTGTGATAATCCTTCTTCCACTGTGAGCGTCTCCAGAGAAAAGCTACCAGGATTCCAGAGTGAACAGTCTCACAGCCACAACAGTGGGCTGCACAACCAGCATTTGGCTGCATATGTGAGAATAATCTTCAAATGAAAAATCGGTCACCTTGGGCCTCTCCTGGTGGCGCAGTGGTTGAGCGCTGGGCTGCGAAGCTGCCCACAGGCTCTGCAGTGCCAGTTGGATCCCCGGCTGCCGGCGAGGGTCCCACATGGCGCACAGACCTCTCCTGCCACAACCGCTGCTCCCCTCAGCAGTGTACTTCAGTCCTGCCTGCTCTGCTCCCCACTCTGGCTCTGGTGAATTCTCTCACCCTCCCGTGCTTCTGACTGCACCCAGTGTTGTATAAATAAATAAATAAATAAATCTTAAAAAAAAAAAAAATTAAAAACCAGTCACCTCATTCTCATTTTTAAAGACAGAGACAGGAGACAATCCTCCTGTGTCCCTGTGAGGAAAGCTAAGGTCCTTCAGGGATTCCACACTCTGCCCTCAGCCCTCACTCATCTTACTGCCTTCAGCACAAACCTGGCGCTGCCTCAGGACATTGGCTCTTGCTGTGTCCTCTGCCAGACGCCTCTGCCCACCTGACCCTTCTATATCGCTGCGTCTTTATTGTCCTCCCGGCTTTGGCTTAATGTCACCTCCTCTTAGAAGTCTTTCCTGACCAGGAGTACAACACGTGGACTGCAGGAGAGCAGGACCCAGCCTGCTTTGCAGTGTTAGTGGGCCCACGCGTGTTGAATGAGTAAGCGAAGGAAGGAGCAGACCAGGGGCCACAGCTGTCTCTGTCAATTCCCTCTGTGGATACAGGGCTGCCCCAGGGGTACGGTCAGGACTCCCAGGTCTCAGGGTTTTGTGGACACCTCCCTGGGCTCACGACCCTGCAGCTGCCCACCTTGAGCACCAGTTTGCTGGCGAAGCAGAAAAGGTCAGAAACCGGGCCCCGGTGATGCCGTCTGAAAATACATGGCGTGCCACTTTGAGAAAGTCCTCAGCAGTGAAGACTCTGTCCATTCCCATCATCCTGCAGGAAAGAGGAGAGCCGTGATGGGGAGAGAGTGTCTAGCAGAGTGTGGAGACCCCGCTAGCCACTTCATCCCCGACGTAAAGGGACCCAGGTCAGGCTGACATGAAAACCAAGGGGTCAACGTGCAGACAGGAGACATCTAGGGGAGAGAGGAAAATCACCTCCCAAGGAGGGTTTCAGGATCCCAGGAGAGGGGACGGCCTGGAGTTCGGCCTTCTGATTTGAGTGATGGGACCCTGGACCCTGGGTGTGAAGGAGCAAGGCTTGTGGGTGTGGATCGCAGGAGAGCAGGGGGTTGGGGACTGAAGCTGGGCCTCCTGGTTTATGGAGGTGACCAGTGACTGGATTCTTGGGTCCTGGGGCCGCACCTCTGCAGCTCCTTGTCATTGTCCACCTGTTGTGCGATGCGCTTGAGAACTTCCGCCAGTTCTTTGATGTGTGGGTCCTGGGTCACCTGCTCTAGGGCCAGCTGAGCTACATCCTTTGAGGCTGGTCCTATTTGATCGCAGATGAACCTGAAAGAAAAGGAGTGGAGGATGCAGAGTCAGGAAGGGGCCACTCCTCAAATCCGCTCCCCAATAACAAAACCTCTCCAACTTACCGCCGATGCGTTTTGCCGCTGTGTCCATGATCTGCTCAGAGCTGGTGGACCCTGCAGGAGGAAGGAGGGGAGAGGTGTCTGGACTCTGGAGTCCGGGGGGTGGGGTCATTGGGGAAGGGAGCTGGCTCATGGTACCCGAGGAAGGCCTACCCTGCAGGGGGCACTGGACTTCTGGGGCCCTGGGAGATAAAGTGACCAGGGACAGGACAACTGAGTCCTGATGGAGAAGAGGCGGGGAAGCCCAGCCTGTGTCCTACACTCTTGGGAGGGAGGCATGTGGGAGAAGACTGGGCAACACTTAAGGGGAGCAGACCTCTGGCCTGAGGGGCAGTGAGGAGAGCCGCCCCTCCCCCTAGGGCAGAGGCAGGAAGTGGGCCTGTCCTGGGTCTGGATTCAGGGGTCTCCAGGGGCTTGCGGGGTCTGAGAGCCCCCCCAGGGAGACATCAGGTGCGGAAGTAAGCGAGCCGGGACCCCTGGGGAAGGAGGGGCTGGAGGCTGGTGGCACCAGATGGGGAGGTTCTGCCCGCGAGCACTTGGAGATCTCGCTCCCGGGGCTCTAGGGGGGACGTCCCGGGGATCGCGTCCTCCCGCCAGTCTGCCTCCAGCCTCACCTCTGCCTCTGCGCTGCTCCCTGACCAGTCCATGACCGCTGCTCTCCGCAGACCCTGGCGGGGCCAACAGGAGCACCAGATCCCCTCAGGGCCTCTGAGCTCTCCCTTTTCAGGCCACTGCTCCCCTGGCTTGACTGGCCAATCAGGTTCGCCCTCGACAAGCAACCCCCCTGCCTATGGCCTGTGGGATGCCCTAGAGAACTTCCGCGCCTGCAGCAGCGTTTTCAGAGTCACAGGTGGGGGACGGTCAGAGACCCCCACCCACGGCTCAGCAAGGGCCTTCCCTGAGGCCGCGCGTTTCAGACGCCGGAATCCCGGGTCTGTGTGACCGAAACAGGGTGTGAAGTTCAAAAAGCCGCACAATCCCTGGGGCTAGATGGGCAGCGGGGGGAACTGGGGGACCCCATGAAGGGATTCCGGGGTGTCCCCACTGTGCTTGAGCCTGTGGTGATCATCTGGGTGCGCACATAGTAAATCCACGGCCCTGTGCACAGAAGACACCCACTTTCCTGGGTGGGGTTCATGGGTCTCCTTGTAAGCAGGAAAAGATAAGAAACAAGTCATGAGAAAATAGTCTGGGGGAAGCTACAGAAACCTGCCATTCAGCCAGAATGGTTATAATATCTGATTTTAGTTTTTTTTAAAGATTTATTTATTTTCATACAGAGTAGGAAACAGAACAGGCAGACGGACCGAAGTACACTGCTGGGTGGAGCAGCAGGTGAGGCAGGAGAGGTCTGCTGCACCATGTGGGTAGCTCCCTGGCAGGGGATCAAACTTGTGCTGCAGTGGCTGCCAATAGCTTCACAGTGCTGTGACTTCACCCCTTGTGTCACCAGGGAAGACCCCAAATATGGGGATTTTAAAGTGGTAATTAAGTTAAAACAAGGTGGACCCTAATCAAGTAAGATTATAGTGTCCTTAGAAGAAGAAATTAGGATCCTCCCTGGTAGCACAAGGGGCTAAGTGTCAGCACTGTGAAGCTGTCTGCTGCCACTGCAGAACGATTTCAATCCCCGGCCAGGAAGGTGACCACATGGCACAGCAGACCTCTCCTGTCTCCCCACTGCTCTGCTCAGCAGTGTATTTCGTCAGTCGGCCTGTTCTGCTCCCCACTCTTCTCTGGTGAATCCTCTCACACCCTACACTCGTGACTTGCACCCCAGTTCTTGTATGCATAAATAAATAAATCTTAAAAATAAAACCTTTTCAGGGCCTCCTCTGGTGGTGCAGGCGGTTGAGCACAGTGCTGTGAAGCTGTCCGCAGCCTCTGCAGCACCAGGTCTATCCCGGCTGAAGGGCGAGGGTCCCACATGGTGCAGCAGACCTCTCCTGTGGCGCCTGCTGCTCCTCTCAGCAGTGTATTTCATCAGTCTGCCTGTTCTGCTCCCCGCTCTGTCTCTGGTGAGTCCTCTCACCCTCCCGCGAGTCTGGATTGTGTCCCGGTTCTTGTGTAAATAAATAAATCTTTTTAAAAAACAATAAAAAATAAACCTTTTCAGGGCTTCCCTGGTGGCTAAGGGATTAAGATGCAACCTATGAAGCCCTCCTTGGAGGGCACAGAGCTGGCCAGCGCTGCCTCCAGCCCCACAGCCTAGGGTGCCACGGAGGTGCTGTCGGGACTGTGGGCACCTGGAGGGCAGCCTGGACCCAGCTTATCACTGACCCTCATGGAACCCCGGGCGCCCCCAGTAAAGAGATGGAACCAACCAAGAAGTGAGCCGAATGACACAGACAGGAAGTGTGGCCTGAAAGTTTTATTACCCCAGATCACCCCAACCCCCCAATCATTCCAAAAGTAAGAAAAATGAGAGTTGGGGGTTCTCCCTGCGAAGCTTGAATGATTTGGAGCAGAGGGAAGCAACAGGCAGAAGGGGTGGCAATAAAAAAGGAAGGATGGGCCTCTAGCCTCAGCCTTCAAGGAAACATGCCATATTCATGCTGAGAAGACAGAGTAGAAGGCAGCTGGGGCCTCAGCCTAAGTTCGCCCGAGTCCGGCTAAGGCAAGCAGTCCGGTCCCGATGGCCATTGCCACTGCCGTCCACTTGAGTGTCTCTCCATGTTTCTAGAGGAGGCCATCCTGGGGACACAGACAGCTCTCATCAGCACTCAGCTAGGGCAACCCCCAGGCCGGCTCATGGGGACAGGGGTGGGGGAGGTGTCAGGGAGAAGTCAAGGCCACAGCAGGGATCAGGGCCTAAGAAATGGGGACTAGAGAGTGAGGGCCAAGGAGTATCAGATGTGAGGGGTTCCAAAGGAACTGGAGGCCCAAGGGAGGGTAGAAAGTGTCAGTCAGGTCAGAGGTTCCTGGGAGGTCACAGGTCACCAGGAGATGAGGGGTCGAGACCAGATCAATGGAGTTGATGAGACAAGTGAGGCAATGCTTTTAGAACACATTTGATGACCAGAGAATGTGGAGGGGAGCAGCACTGTGGCGGGTTCAGGAAGACCCCCAGGTCCCAGCGGAGTGGGGGAGGGGGTGGTTAAGGGCCTCACCCAGACACCACGATCCTAGGTCCCGGGCAGCTTTTGCTCTCAAATGAAGTTCACTTCCACTGCGATGATGGCCACTAACACTGCGATGATGGCCACTGCCACTGGGATGATGGCCAATGCCGATGAGAACCACTGGATTTGATTACTGTATTGTGCGAGGAGGCCGTCCTGGGGACACAGACATCTCCTGTGAGCACCCAGCCAGGGCAGCCCCAAGGCCCGCTCACAGGGAGCAGGTGGGGAGAGAAGACAGGGAGTCAGGACTAGGCAGTGCGGGTTAAGGATTATCACAGGTTTGAGTAATTCTAGAGGACCTGGAGACCCCAAGGAGGGTAAAAAGTACTAGTTAGGTCAAGGGTAACTGGGAGGTCAGAGGTCACCAGCAGGAAGGGTCAGTGACCAGATCCACTCAGTTGAAGGGAGACGTGAGGAAACACATTATAGACCACATGTGATTATCAGAAAGTGAGAAAGGGAGCAGCACTGTGGTGGGTTCAGGAAGATCCCCAGGTCCCAGCGGAGTGGGGGAGGAGGTGGTTAAGGGCCTCACCCAGCCAGCAAGTTCCAGGATCCAGGACCAGGGCCAGTGCAGCTGTTGGTTTGGAGTGAAGTCCACTGACACTGCGAAGATGGCCACTGTCACTGCGATGAAGGCCACTGCCACTGCGAGCCACTTGATTTGATTACTGTATTGTGAGAGGAGGCCGTCCTGGGGACACAGACATCCCCTGTCAGCACCCAGCCAGGGCAGCCCCAAGGCCCACTGACAGGGAGCAGGTGGGGAGAGAAGACAAGGGCACTGTGGGAGTCAGGACCAGGCAGTGAGGGTTAAGGATTATCACAGGTTTGAGTAATTCCAGAGGACCTGGAGACCCCAAGGAGGGTAAAAAGTACTAGTTAGGTCAAGGGTAACTGGGAGGTCAGAAGTCACCAGAAGGAAGGGACAGTGACCAGATCCACTCAGTTGAAGGGACAAGTGAGGACACATTATAGACCACATGTGATTATCAGAAAATGAGAAAGGGAGCAGCACTGTGGCGGGTGCAGGAAGATCCCAGGTCCCAGTGGAGTGGGGGGGGGGGATAAGGGCCTCACCCAGCCACCCTGTTCCTGGATCCAGGGCAGCAGTCGCTTTCGAATGAAGTCCAGCGTCCAGCCAACGATGCTGGTGATCAGCTCCCGCATGTCCGTGCACAGGGCCTACGGCGAAGAGGTGGGAGTAAGGACTGAGCTCCTACTGCCAGGTGACTCCCCAGGCCCGTTTCTCAACCTCTGCCTCCCCCCTGACCCCCTGTGGTTCTTCCCACTCATAACTTGGATCTCATCACTGGCAACTGCCCTGCTTGGAACCCTCTCATCCTCCCAAGTACCCCTGGGATCCAAACCAAAGGCATGGGCTGCCACAGGCCATATGGAAGTTCTCCTTGTTCACACTGAATTTTTCTTTTACTGTTTGGTGTCTCCTCCTTTTTCCAATCTTCATTCACACGAAACTCCTTTCTGCCTCAGGACCTTTGTGCATGTTGGTTATTCTGCCTCAATAGGACTTGTCTGACTTACCTGCCAGCTAAGACTCAACACCCCCAGTTGCCGTGACCTGCTCTCCAACTCCCTGGACGCCCCCTTCCACCCTCTATGTGGCTGCTTCTCCCCAGATCCACATGAGCCCCCAGCACTGAATGCTGCCCCCACCTCCAACATTCAGGCCCCATCAGCTCCATATTACAAACACATCCAGAAAGCTCCTTCCTCCCACCCCAGCTCCCACCTGAGTCCCGGCCCCTCATCATTCGCTGGGTCCATTCTGGGTGCCCCCCACCAGCGTCCCACCTTTTGCCCCTGCGCCCCGCAGTCCCTTTCCCAACTATAGTTGCCAAACTATGTTCTGTGATAATCCTTCTTCCACTGTGAGCGTCTCCAGAGAAAAGCTACCAGGATTCCAGAGTGAACAGTCTCACAGCCACAACAGTGGGCTGCACAACCAGCATTTGGCTGCATATGTAGAATAATCTTCAAATGACCTCCCAAGGAGGGTCTCAGGATCCAAGGAGAGGGGACGGCCTGGAGTTCGGATTTCTGAGTTGAGTGATGGGACCCTGGGGTGCAAAGGAGCAAGGTTTGTGCGTGTGGATCACAGGAGACGACGGGCTTGGGGCCTCCTGGTGTATGGAGGTGACCAGTGACTGGATTCCTGGGTCTTGGGGCCGCACCTCTGCAGCTTCTTGTCCTTGTGCACCTCTTTTGCCTTGCGCTTGAGAACTTTCACCAGTTCTTTGATGTGTGGGTCCTGGGCCACCTGCTCTAGTGCCAGCTGAGCTACATATTTTGTGGCTGGTCCTATTTGATCGCAGATGAAACTGAAAACAAAAGGAGTGGAGGATGCAGAGTCAGGAAGGGGCCACTCCTCAAATCCCCTCCCCAATAATCAAACCTCTCAAACTCACCGCCGAAGCAAAACGCCCGCTGTCTCCATGATCTGCTCAGAGCTGGTGGGCCCTGCAGGAGACAGGAGGGGAGGGGTGTCTGGACTCTGGAGTCCGGGGGGTGGGGTCATGG